GTAGCACTGATTGTGTGACACGTGTGTTGTAACAACGGTGGAAGGAAGCCCTGGGCCCTTGGAGCTGGGAACACACGCTCTCCTCTCCCGCACTGAGGGGAGTTGCCGAGAGGAGGCAAACTCCCCATGAAAGCTGTTCTACTCGGGGCTCTCTCTCCTTCGCTCCATGATCATCTCCCTCCTCTCGCCCTGGGGCCAGGGAAGGATTCCTGCAAGGATCAAGACAGGAAAAGGAAAAGGGGCAGCCAAATGCCCTGCCTGTGGCACAGACACCAGACAGGCGGGGGGCTCTGCTATGTCCATCCAGCCCCTTCGCCGCCCACATCCCGGATGCTTTTAATCACGGCAGGATCCCCGCAGCACCCATCGCAGGGAAGGAGGGAGTCACGTGGAGAGCAGGAGCTCAGAATAGGATTTGGCGTCCTCGTGGCAGCCAAGACTAAGAAACAAACACACAAAAGGTAGCCCGATCACGTCCCCACAGTTATAGTGTTTCCTCTTTTTTCTACTGCAGGCCTTTTCTTTCAGTTGTGGCCAGTGATGCTTGATCAGCTTTGGATCACGAGAGTGACGATCACCCAAACCCCTGGGCTTGTTTCTCCTTGGACTGAATCAGAATGGAAAGAAGGGTCAGCTTTACCTTTTCTTTTTCAGGACTTGGACAGAAGGGTCAGGAGGCCAAGCATTGGTGGTTCAATGCTAGACTTCCTCCCTCCCATGCAGAATACCTGCGTTCAATTCCCAGCCAGTGCAGAGGCTGCAGGTGAACGTTTTGCAGGCCTTAACAACCTAATGTGGTCCTCAACAAAAATGTTTGTTAGTAACTTTCACTGATCTCTTGAGTTTAAAAACTAACAAAACAGATCCTCCAATGCCAAGTTGGCAAAGTAGATCAGCATATTTTGACATTATTGTTTCCTTTTTGAAACTTTTATGAATCATGTGTAAATATATACACAACTAGCAGTGCTAATAGTGTGTGGCACCATTAAAAAATAACCTCATGGCATCCTTTCTCTGTAAGGGTCACCAGAACCTGGACCACGCTCCCCGCGGAGGTGGTGCAGTCTCCGTCCCTGGAGGTGTTCAGGGTGAGGCTGGACCGGCCCCGTGTCGAGCTCGTCTGAGCCCAATAACGTCCTGCCCGAGGCAGGGGACTGGACTTGATGATCTCGCAGGCCCCGTCCCGCCCTTTGATTGTAGGATACACACCCACCCACCCCCACATCCCACCATGCACACCCCTCCACCCCCAGCATACACATACACACACCCACCATACACACCTTCACCCCCACCATACCTACACAGACACGCACACACCAACCATACACACCCCACTCCCACCCTCCACCACACACACACACACACACACACACACACAGGTTACCAGCTGCGGTTGGTGTCAGGGTCCCCGAGCGGCGCTGACCGCAGTGCTGGCGGTGGAGACAGGGACCCCGGCCTCCCCACGCGCCAGGCTCCCACGTCCACACTGCCGGGAGCGGCTGGGCCGTGTCTTGGGGGCGGGAGGCCTCGGGGCAGCAGTGGC